CGCTTCCGAACAACTTTGCCTAAATGCGGAAAGTCAAACGTATAGTCCACGAGAAAATCTGTTCAACGGCATCCTTATCCGGTCATAGGCCAGGCCTGTTCAGTATCCTGAACTTTATGAGAGGTTTAGTAACAGTGACTGCACTTGCTCTGGCGTGCGATACAAGTGCAGAAATTACTCGAGCGTGCAGCGCACAGGGCCTGCACCACCTAATAGGAATCCGCTACCACTCTGTCATGGTTTCAATAGAATGATTTCTAAAACATCAATCCCCTTCCCCTTTTGCAGCATACGTGTGAGGCTTTTGAAGTTGCTCTTTCCATTTCTGCCTCTCTGAAAACTACCTGTACCTATTTCTTGGAAAGTTACAGCTGGTACTTTATCCACTTAAAAGGAAAACCTGGTAACTCATACAGACGTTAGACCATCAGTTAAGTTGTGTTCTATGTGGATCATATTGAACGCAGATATAAACTTTGTATGGGGCCAATGTGCTGAATGAAACATGATTACCCCCCACTGCCTAAATCATCACTTTTTTTTCACAGTGCTGGTGACTGAGATAATAAATGGCCTTACCTACTGGTCACATGTCCCCCAAATCAGGAGATTCTAAACAGGAAACTCCCTGTGCACCAGACTGACACTATTGTACCTGCTTGCCATCAAGTTGATCCCAAATCAGCAACTCTATAGGACAGAGTAGACTTGCCCCTTAAGTTTTTTTTATTACTGAAGCCAACTACTACATCTTTCTCCCTCAGAGCAGCTAGCTAGTGGGTTCAAACCGCTGATCTTCAGTCAATACCCAAGTGCTTTCACCACTGTGTCACCAGATCTCCTTACAATGATGAAATCACTCCACGATAGTTCATTGGATTTAGGCATTGATGATCCCTGTTAATATGAAAACAAGTTGTTTCATCTAGTTGATTCCAGCTCATAGCCACCCCGTATAGGTTTCCCAAGGCTGTAATCTTTACAGGAGCCAACAGTCTCAACTTCTCCCATGGAGTAGCTTGTGGTTTTGAACCTTCTACCTTACAGTTAGAAATCCACTTCTCCAACTCCAAACTCACTGCCATCGGGTCAATTCTCACTCATAACAACCCTCCAGTACAGGGTAGAATTGCTCCTGTGGGTTTCTGAGACTATAACTCTTTCTGGGAGTAGAAGCTAGCCTCATCTTTCTCTCATAGAGCAACTGGGGGTTTTGAACTGCTGACCATCCAGTTAGCAGCCCAATATGTAAGCAAATATGCCACCAGAGTGCCTAGCCATCCACTTAATAAGGGGAAAAGGCTAACCAGTGTGGTACAATGGGGGAAACATAGAATTGGAGCCCCTAAGCTTTCATTTTCAAGACAGGCCTTACCAATTTCCAAATTTGGATGTTGAGTTACAGCACCAATAAAATTGGGGTAATATTTACCTTAAAGAACTATTAATAGTGGTTATCATTAGACCTTATAGGTATCAAAGGAGAAACTGAACTTAGTGTGCCGGCACATAGTAAACAGGCAATAGTAACTTGCGATCACTAATAATCCCTGGTATTTGAAACCACCGCACCAGAAGCAGGACCCTGAGGCTAAGGAAAGGGAAAATGTGTTGTTGAGTTCAGTAACTTTCTCAGGGCTCCAAACTCTGGAACCCGAGTCCAAAGCACAGACTCCCACCACAGAAACCTGCTCCCTTTACTTGCGTGTGCCCCTCCCCAACGAGCAGAATGATGGGAACAGGCGGCCTCAGTGACTCGGGCCCCAATATGCAGGTTGCTTTGAGCGACAGATCAGCCCTGAGTCTGCTTTCAGACTTGTCAACGGTCAACCGAATCCATTTTGAAGCCAACAATGAAACATGATCGTGAATGACCTGCTGGTCCTTCAAAATAGATTGCAAAACTGACCATTCATTCTTAAGTCTCCTCTGTGTCCCGTCTTCCCCAAACCCCAGGGGCTATTAGCACATACAAGAGTACCACAAAGCACAAAGCCATCCCCCATCCCCAGAAAATTTAGCTTGGGGTTAGAGGTCCCTGAAAACCCCCTTCCTGCCAACGTGTCCCTCTCATGTGAGCATCACTTTAATTGTCTGCTCCAGTCCCCATACCTATACCAAGCAGGTCATCACCTTCCACCATCTCACCTCCATTTCCCCATGGAACACGTATCCTTTTAGCCCACAGGCTACAGCCCGGCTACTTTCTAGAATCCTAAGCACCTGGATAGGATTATGCACAAGCTTATGAGGGCCCAGAGTGCCAGGGAAGACAGAAAGAGAGGATGCCCTTTTCTACTTCTGCAGGCCTCAGGGAGGCAGCACCACAGGAATGGCTTCCTGGTGCGTGTAGGAGGTTCATACCCCAGGCATTAGGGCTTCCAGCCTAGACAGAGATATCCCTTCTACCCATGCCCCATTGATTCGAGTCAAAGGGATGCCCACCCACAAGGGACCTACGGACATATGAACAGTGGGGATAGCAGTGACAACCATGAGAGCTTGAAAGTCCCATAGAAGACAGGCTCCCCTCCCCCACCTCCACCAATACTTGCATAACTCAACAGAGAAGAGAGTCCCCCCTGTAAGAGTAAATAAGATTGAGCTTTGCTTCATCTCAGTGTATGGAGAGAAGATTGGGATTTAAATTGTCACCATTCCATAAACCTGCCCTGATATACACATGACACAGAAAGCACAGCAGAGTAAATGCACACATTTTATTAGCAATTAGGGTTTGGGACCAGGTCCCAAGAAGAAAAAATGTTTATCTTTTTAAGTTGGATGGAATCTTATGTGGAAATTGAAGGCCTCCCTTTCTTTAGGCTGAAGGCCAAACTAGCTACCAATTGGACTCCTTGGTGGTTCCCTCCTTGACTTGCAACAGCTGCCTTGGGGCAGCAGAGAGCCTACAGAGAACACACAGGAAGCAGAACATTCCTAGGTGGGCATGCCCCAGTCCAATTCTCCTATTCAAACTACCGCTCCCATAAGCAGCAGCATCTCCTGAAGACTTGCATTGAAGACTTGCACTGCATGCAGGGCAAATAAATTACCCTGATCTGCTTTTGATCTTAAATTAGGCTTGCTCTCTCTCTCTCCCTCCTGTCATCCAACCAAACTCCCCACATAATGAGATATTGTGTGCATTAGTCTGTAGTATCTAATTCTAACTCCTAAAAGCTTATTTTTGAATAATTCTAATTTCTAACATATAACTTTTTGTTCAGCAAATTACGTGAAATCCCTTGAGTTTGCTCTCATTTATAGAATTTAATACTGCACTCCCCGAACCAATCGCAATGACCGACATATGACCCCTCCCTGAGGGACACACAGCAGAAAAGTGGGTGAAATGAGACAGCGGTCATTCTAAGACATGAAAAAAGGGAATAATTTATAAATTATCAAGTCGTCATGGGGGAGAGGGGTGGGGGAGGTAGGGGGAAAATGAGGAGCTGATGTTAGGGGCTCAAGTAGAAAGAAAATGTTTTGAAAAAGATGATGACAACATATGTACAGATATGTTAGACACAACGGACATATGTATGGATTGTGATAGAGCTGTAAGAGCCCCCAATAAAATTTTTTAAAAATTAAAAAGGAAATTGAAAAGCTCAAAGCCAGTGACAACTATGGAAAAATGTAGAGGTGTGAAGTACAAATACCCCAAAGCTCATCATTGTGAGAATAGAAAATTGACTGATTGTATATAAGTCATTAATAAAAATTGTATAATCCGGTTGTAAACTGGCTTTCAAGCATATACCTGAAAAAAAATACTGCACCCCCCAACTCTTGTCCCAACTGAGAAACGAAATGCTTATAAAATCAATTGACCCCCACCCCCAACAGGTGTCAAAACATGTATTCTTTCCTCTCCCTTTTCAGCTCCAGCCAGTTGGTGTTGGCTCTTCCTGATGTAGGTTGATGTTCAGGGTGTTTCTTCTGTAGATGCTTGGCAGATCTTCTAGGTATAACTTCTTCAACAACATTTAAGATGCGTGGAACTCAGATGAAAATGCTGGCCTTCCCTAAAAATATAAAACAACAACAAAAAAACCCCTTGAGCACAGTAGACCCAGAACTTTTTCCCAGAAAAGAACATTCTTAACAGAGACTCAAGTTTCTATCTCTGAAAACATATGGCTGGCCTCAGCCATAGGCATGACATTTAGGGGGAAAGAAGTTTAATAAGGGAGACACAAGGAGGAGGAGGCGATGGGGAGAAGGAGAGGGAGTTTCTCTCGGGTATCACCCCATCGGTATGATTAGCCCTACACAGTTTATAAGAAACAGAAAGGAGAAAAGCTTCACAGCTTCAACTTTTCCACGGTATAAAGCCATCACCATCACTCATCCAGAATCAACCACCTGAGAATTGAGATGCCATTAAGACAAATCCTCTTTTTAAAGAGTACATGGAAGTATTCAAAGTCAAAAATTCAAACTCACCGTCATGGAGTTAATTCTTAGTCAAGGTGACCCTATAGGACAGGGTAGAACTGCCCCTGTGTGTTTCCAAGATCTTAATCCTTTACAAGATTAGAAAGCCCAGTCTTTCTCCCACGGAGCTGGCTGGTGGTTTCACACTGCTGACCTTGTGGTTAGTAGCCCAACGCATAACCACTAAGTCCCTAAGGTGGACCTTCTTGATTGAAAACAAATGAGCAAGAGTATACAAATGTATGCTTTTGTGCGTGGTTCTGCGGGTGTGTGCCCCAAGTGGTAAAAAGTGGCTAATTTGGGTGATCGGATAATGGATTGCTTCATTTTCTATATGATCACTTAGGTGATCAATTTGTCTGTTAAGTAAATTGGTTCTTTTTAATTTTCATCAGAAAAGAGTGTCAGGAAATTGATTTCTCTTTGGAATATGTTTCCATTCTTACCTTTCTGAAATTAATGCAGAACTCATTCTGGGTCAAGGTCACCATGATCACCAGCTGTGGAGACTTTCTCGGGTTCACCAGTGGTGGAGAATTTCTCGGGTTCACCAGTGGTGGAGACTTTCTCGGGTTCACCAGTGGTGGAGACTTTCTCGGGTTCACCAGTCGTGGAGACTTTCTCGGGTTCACCAGTGGTGGAGACTTTCTCGGGTTCACCAGTCGTGGAGACTTTCTCGGGTTCACCAGTCGTGGAGACTTCCTCGGGTTCACCAGTGGTGGAGACTTTCTCGGGTTCACCAGTGGTGGAGACTTTCTCGGGTTCATCAGCCGTGGAGACTTTCTTGGGTTCATCAGCCGTGTTCTTACAGGTCATGAGCCATGGGAAATGATTTGCTTTGCATGAGTTATAATGCCAGTTTTGATCATTGCTGCCCAGAACATGCTTCCCCTCGTGCTGAAATTCGGAGGGGCTTTTCCCTGTTGCTTCGTTTGCCTTTTGCCCCTGTGGCTGCTGCTTCTCTGGTTCTTCTTTATCAGCATGGCTCCTGATGTTCCCCAGGTGGGCCATCACTTTGGGTCCCAAGAGACCTTCTTCCTGGATGTGGCTTCTACTGTCCCCCACAGGGGCCATCTCATCGGGCTTCACTGCCCTTTCATCTTGGTTAGGGGTCACATTGGCCCCCACAGGGGCCATGTCCTGGAGCTTTGCTGCATCTTCTGCCTGGCTGTCACAACTGCTGTTCCCCAGGGGCACTATCCCCTGGGGGATGAAAGAAGCGTCTCCCTGGCCATAGTATCTCCAGTCCCGCTGTGGGGCCATTGCCTGGAAGCCCACTGGAGCCCATATGTAAGGTTGGTAGCTTATCCCTGGTGGTGCCTGGAATTGGGTTGTTGCTCGTTGTGTTTCTGTCACCACTGCTGGTGGCACAAGTGGTGAGTATTGTGTCACTTGGTATGGCACATTGGCTGGGTATGGCACATTGGCTGGGCATGGCTGTGGCAATGGCACTGATGAAGATTGCTGGCTCATCTGAGGCCAAGAATTCGATGGTCCTGGCATGTAGAGCATGTGGGGTGACGCCACTGTCGGGGTCTCCATATAAAAACTGCCTTGTGGCCCCGGGACCATCAGATTTGTATATTGGCCTGAAGTCAGGGGCAATGCTTCCGCACCAGGCCCCTGGATTTGCAACATAGGCATGAGGCCAAGGGCTAACCAGGCCCCTTGTTTGGATCTCTCTATCTGCTGAAGCCGCTTATACAGAACGTCACGCTCACTCAGAGCCTGTTGTAGCTTAGACCACTCACAAGAGAGCCGCATCTTTGCCTCCTTGTTCTCTGCACACAGTCGCTGGACCTCCGCAGCCAGGGCCCTAGACTCCGCCTCCCTGTCATCCACCTGTTCTTGCAGCCACTGCATCTGGAGCGCGTACTGCTCCTGTTCTTTCACAGCCCCCCGCGCAGCCAGCGCCAGCGCGCTCCAGGCATAGGCCCGCTTCAAGTGAAGGGGCACCTGGGGGCTCTGCACTACCAGGAGCAGCTGATCCTCCACCTCATCCCAGGGCAGTGAGCGGAAGGTCTCATAGAACTCCGGCCCGCCACAGTTCATGACAATCTCGTTGTTAATGAACTGGATGACCTCTCTGTGGCGAAACCCACTCTCGCGGTCCCCAAACTCTACCGCCATGGTTGCTGTGGCCCCGTCAACCGACCCGCTCCACGTGTCGCCACCGAAAGATGGCGGCCACTAGTCAGTCCCTTGGCCCCTCCCCCAGTCCCAGTTGGCTCCTCACTCAGTCTTCCTTTCAGCCCCGCTGCCGAGTTCAGGCCTCTTTTCAGCCTCCTTCCTTCTTCACCCCTTAGTCCTCCTCACGAAGACTGAAGATGGCGCCTTCAGCTCGCCAAGGGACCCGGGCTAACAACGAAGCGGCCGCGTGTAACTTCGCAAATCCCCGAGTCTACCGCAAGGCCTGCTGGGACCACTCACAGTCCGGGGCAGAGCGCCCCCTGTTCACAGAGCTGGCTGGGCTTCCTGGGACGACCTGGCCGTTCTGGGAAGAGCGCCCCCTATTGTGAGAGCGGACTGGGAGGCTGTTCCTAGTCACCTTCCTTAGAAGACGGCACCGGGGGATTGCAGTGAGCCCCTGGAATGCCTTGTTGCCAAGAGCTTCAGAAAGACAGCCCCCCCATCCGCATAGAATGAATGGGGGTGGGGGTGAGGGATCGATGGGTGCACGGGAAGTGCATTTTGCTGCCCATTCCCATAACTGTTGCTACTTCAAACTATCTATACCTTCACACTACAATTGAGTGGTTACAACCCATAAAAACCAAACGCACAGAGAAGTGGGTGAAAGGAGATGATGGACAGTGAAGGACATGACAGAACAATAATAATTTATAAATTATCAAGGGTTCATAGGGGGGTATTTGGGGAGGGATGGGAAAATGAGGAGCTGATACCAAAGGCTCTGGTGGAAGTCAAATGTTTTGAGAATGAGGGCAACAAATGTACAAATGTGTTTGACACAGTGGATGTGTGTATGCATTGTGATAGGAGTTGTTGGAGTCCCCAATAAAATGATTTAAAAAAACACACACTCTATAGTGAGTCCTATAGAGCAAGGTTGAACTGCCCCTGCGGGTTTCTCAGATTGTGCCTATTTAGAGGTGTAGAAAGCCACATCTTCCCGTGGAGCTGTGTTCAGGTTTTAGCTGCTAACTGTGATTAGAAGCCCAATACCTATCCCTACACCACCGGTGCTCCCTTTCCAGCTTATAGGGACGCCAGGCAGGCTTTCTAAGATGATAAATCTTAAAAGGAGCAGACAGCCTCATCTTGCTCCCTGGATAGTCTGGAAATTTTTGCAGCACCCACCCTGTGCATATCAGTGCAGTGCTTAACTCCTGACATCCCCAGGGCTTCTGTCAACCCTATCGAAAAACTGCAAACCAAACTCACTCTAATCCAGTTGATTCCGACTCATAGTTACCGTATAGGACAAAGTTGAACTGTCCCTATGGGCTTCTGAGACTGTAACTCTCTCTCTCTTTCAATATAACTCACTTTATTGGGGGCTCTTATAACAATCCATACATATATTGTATCAAGCACATTTGTACATATGTTGCTATCGTCATTTTCAAAACATGTTCTTTCTACTTGAGCCCTTGGTATCAGCTCCTCTTTTTCCCCTCCCTCCTCCACTATCTCACCCTCGTGAACCCTCGATAAATTATTATTATTTTCATATCTTCCACCATTCACTCTCTAATCAACGTTCCTGTTATTCAACACCCTGGGGGGGGGGGTTGTTATAAGTCGATCATTGCATTCAGTTACTCCTTTTTCTCCCTTCTCCCCCCCTTCTTCTCCCTACCCTGATAGTATTGTTGCTCCCATTAATGTTCCTGAGGAGGCTTACTGTGCTGGATTCCATGTGTCAAGAGCTCTTATCTGTACCAGCGTGCATGTTTGGCTCTAGCCAGATTTGTAAGGGACAACAGGTTTCATGATAGTGCTGGGGAGGAAGCATTAAAGAATTAGAGGGATGTTGTGTGTTTTGTCAGTGCCATACTGAACCCTGGCTGACTCATCCCTTCCTTGTGACCCTTCTGTGAGGTGATATCCAATTGTCTGCAGATGGACTTTGGGTCTCCACTCCTACCCCACTCATTCACATCAGTATTATTGCATTGGGTCTTCTGATAATTGATACCTGATCCTATCGACACCTCGTGATCACACAGGCTGGTGTACTTCTTCCACATGGGCTTTGTTGCTTCCTTGCTAGATGGATGCTTATTTAACTTCAATTCTTTAAGACCCCAGATTCTTTATCTTTTAGTAGCTGGGCACCATCAATTTTCTTCACCACATTTGCTAACGCACCCATTTTGTCTTCAGCACTCATTTTGTGATGAAGGTGAGCACAAAATGCCAGGTTATTAGAACAAGTGTTTTGCGTTGAGGGATGACTTAAGCAGAGGTTCAATGTCCATCTGCTACCTTAATAATTAACATAAAGATATATGCACATAGACCTATCATTATATATTAATATATTTACATATATGCATGCCTGTATTTATGCCTCCCTAAATGTCTTTTGCCTCCTATTTCTTTTCTCCATTTCCTTTTACTTTGTACCTGTCCCACTATCATAATCCACTTTCATTTGGCTCTCAGTAATTTATTTGGGATACATTGCACTTGATCAAACCCCACCCAGCATTCTACGCCCTCCAAGACATCTGTTTTAGATATCTTGTTGTTCCCTTGTTCCTGGGTTTGTTGGCTCCCCACTTCACTTCCCCACATTTCCTCTCCCATGTCCCCCTAGATCCACTGGCCCAGTTGTTTTCTCCTTGGGAATGTAAGCAATCTTGCCTGTCTTATATAGAGACATGGGGTGGGGGGGTGGGGGGAAAGGCCTATAAATAGTTCTAGGTCTGTCTGCTGACCATTATGAATGTTTTCTGATGAGGTCTGATAAAGCGCAAAGCTCTGCCTTCCAAAAAAGTCTATTTTGGGGTTCCTCCAGGACTTAGTGCTTTGCTCCCATTGCTACTCTGTTGTGCTCCTTTCATGTTTTGCCCCTGTGTGTGTGTGTGGAGGATGAGATGGGGGTGTCAGACCAGGGGCAATTTCCCCACTGTGTCTCCAGTGCTATCCCCTGTATCGCTGGGGGTCAGTGAAGGGACGTCGTGTTCTGTGGAGGGGCCGGCCCTACAGTCCTCTTTGTGCATTGGCTGCTCCAAGCCGGCATGTCATCTTTGAGGCAGCATGGGCCAGGATGTGGTTCTCTTTCTCTTTCTCTCTCTCCCTACCTCTTAGTTTGCTCCCGTGTTGTCTGGGCAGACCCACTATTGTCACTGGGCTATATCTTTAGTGCTGTCCTCTATAGTGCATTCTTTTGGAGAGGTGGTCAACATAGCTCGGATTAGAGCTGACCCCACAATCTTCTGTTAGTTTCCGCTCCATGCCATTATGTTGTCCACAAGGCTTGGTGCACCAGGATGAGGTCTGATCCTAATCTCTCTTTCCTGTGGAGATATAAACAATACCCTTCCCATGGGTGGGTTAGTGCCCTGTTCCTCCACTACATAAAGATCAGTTATCTATATGCTGATTATTTCACTTCTGGATTTTCTGTTCTTTGCCATTGATCTGAGTATCTGTCACTATACAAGTGCCACGTTAATTTGACTACTGTGGATATATAATAGGAGCTACTGTCAGGTAAATCAAGCCCTCTGACTTTATCCTTCTTGAGAAGTTCTCTACTAATTCTGGGCTTCTTCCCTCTCCATATTAAGTTGGTAGTCTTTTTTCCCAGTGCTTTCAAGAAAGATGTAGGTATTTGTATTGGGATAGTGTTAAACTTATATAGTGCCCTGGGAAGGACTGAAATCTTTATTATATTATGCCTTCTGATCCAGGAGCATGGGATATTCTTCTGTGGCAGGTACATAAACTCCTGTCAACTTGCGAAGGGGTGGAGTTTAGCCTGTTAATTTGGTCGCAACTTGATGACCTCATTTGGAAGCACTACGGAACCAAATAGCTCACTGGAGGCCAGACCCACACTCTCTGCTTCATCTTCCTGCTGACAAGACACATGGCTGATGGAACCAGAGCCCCGGAGCCGAAGGAGCCACATGGAGACCCACACCAGTGCTGGCATGCTTCCACCACTACTGAATCCACAAGACTTCCCATCCACTGACCTGTGATCTTTCTGCATGTGGCATCATTGTATGTGTTGCATGAATCTGGAGGAAACCATAGACTGGTATCAGAAATAAAGGTTAATATATGACTTATGGACCTGATCTGGACAGGGTTGGGATGTTTTCTTAATATACAATTGTTCTTTGATATAAAGCTCTCTCTTACATATATGAGTGAGCTCGTTAGTTTATTGTGCCAACCTGGCCAATAAACACATGTGGGGTTAATTGAAAGGCGGAGAGATAAATGGCTCAGTGAGACTCGCCTTTCAAGGTCTAGGGTCTCTTGCTTTGTGATGGGTGGAGCAGGCTACAGCTGCCTTAGCCAGTTCCCTGCTTCAGCTGACAAGGCTCACTTCCTGCAAGACATCTCCAAGGAGAAGCCACATGGACCTACCCCGATGCAGCCCTGGATGCTTGAGCCACGGTGTGGAGACCCTGTCAGCACTCAGATGCTTACAAATTCACTGACTCAGCTTTCCTCCTGCAGTCGGCATCATAGTGTATGTTTTGTGAGATGAAGGAAGACTTTGTGGATCGGTGTTGGACATATGGGTTAATGTTGAACTTGTGGGTTGGGCTGTTTTCTTGATATGCACTTAACCTTTATATAAAACTCTTTCTTACACATATGAGTTTCTGTGGATTTGTTTCTCTAAAGTACCCAGACTAACACAATGAGTGTCCCTGGATTTGTGTCTCTAGTCTACCCAGACTAACACAGCTACTCTCTTAGTAATAAGCCCTGTGTTATTTTTTCACATAGTATAAATTATATTATGCAATATCCTGGGAAGCAATAAGCTCACATGGAAGAAGCACACCAGCCTGTGTGACCATGAGGTGCCAAATGGATCAGGTATCAGGCATCAAAGAACAAAAAATTATATCATTGTGAATGAGGGGATTGTGGAATAGAGAACCAAAGCCCATCTGTAGGCAACTGGACATCCC